CCCTTCCCCAGCTCCACCTGTATAGATCTGCATCGAGGTGATTCATGTATGCTACATGGGGGTTATTTTAGTGCTGGGTGGTATACCGGTTCATACCGAATACCGGTGTTTATTTTTGTTATGATATTAATTTTTAAAATACCACAATACCGGTGTATGGACACTCAATATACTGTAGTATTTCCTCTCTCAATCAGTAGAAAATTTGGTTAATACCAGGTCATGCATGAAAAAAATATATAATTTTGAAAAATACCGTGATATAAATTTTTGGTCATACCGCCCAGCACTAGGTTATTTCATGTATGTTATATGTGCAGCAGCAGTATTTCTTACATGCTCACAGCAGCATGTTGTGGATGTATTGGCAGTAGCAAGTCTCAATTACACTGAAAGAGCTTATCATGTGTCTGTGATGTTCAGGTGTATCCAGAGCTTCAGATCACAAACGTGGTGGAGGCCAATCAACCCGTCAGTATTTGGGACTGGTGTAAGAAGAGCCAGAAGCAGTGCCGCAGTCACACGCACATCGTGGTGCCGTATCGCTGCCTGGGTGCGTGAGTCTCTTCACACGCCGCATGTCGCTCCTTCTCCTGCTGTGTGTGCTCATCATGTTTCTCTCTCTCTGTGTCAGTCGGGGAGTTTGTGAGCGACGCTCTGCTGGTTCCTGATAAGTGTAAGTTCCTGCACCAGGAGCGCATGGACATGTGTGAGAGCCACCTGCACTGGCACACCGTCGCCAAAGAGGTCAGAAACACACACAACAAAAATACAGCAAAAATGTGATCCTGGACCACAAAACCAGTCACAAGTGTCAATTTTTCAAAATTGAGATTTATGCGTCATCTGAAAGCTGAATAAATAAGCTTTCCATTGATGTATGGTTTATTAGGATAGGACAATATTTGGCAAATCTGAAAATTTGAAAATCTGGAATCTGAGGGTGCAAAAAAAATCTAAATATTGAGAAAATCATCTTTAAAGTTGTCCAAATGAAGTTCTTAGCAATGCATATTACTAATCAAAAATTATGTTTTGATATATTTACGGTAGGAGATTTACAACATATCTTCATGGAACATGATCTTTACTTAATATCCTAATGATTTTTGGCATAAAAGAAAAATCTATAATTTTGACCCATACAATGTATTGTTGGCTATTGCTACACATATACCCCAGCGACTTAAGACTGTTTTTGTGCTGCAGGCTCACATATATTATTTCAATTTTATATAGCTGTTTTCTGTGTGTTTATCCATTAAAATGTAATGTATTTCTGTGATGCGCAGCTGTATTTTCAGCATCATTACTCCAGTCTTCAGTGTCACATGATCTTCAGAAATCATTCTAATATGCTGATTTGCTGCTCAAGAAACATTTCTGATTATTATCAATGTTGAAAACAGTTGTGCTGCACGATATTTTTGTGGAAATTGGGATGCATTTTATTTTTCAGGATTCACAGATGAATAGAAAGTTCAGAAGAGCAGCATTTATTTGAAATAGAAATCTTTTGTGAAATTATAAACGTCTTTACTGTCACTTTTGATCAATTTAATGCGTCCTTACTGGATAAAAGTATTTATTTCATTTAAAAAAAATCTTACCCCAAACAGTTTTTGCGTGAGAATTAACACAATAAAAATAGGGTATAATCTGTTAATTGTCATGAAAATAATGCCAAAATACTTATAAAATCACCTTCAATTTATTTAATTATTCATTTTATTTGAATGAATGAATGAATAAAAGTAAAATAATAAAAGTTAAAAGTAACTTGATGTGTGCTGGACATGTTTCAAGGTTATTATAGTTACAGCTAAAACTAAAACCATAAAAAAAATACCATAACTACTACTATCTATACTATACTATAAAATAAATGAAATAAATTTTCACTGATATTTCACTGAAATAAAATCAAATATTTAAAAACTTAAACTTATTTTTAATTACATTTTTTTCAGCTAGTTGAATTATTATTAATTTACAATAAATTCACATCTATATATGTAGCTGACAAGGCAACATTTGTAATTTTCTTTTAGTTAACTTGAAGTACTAAAATAACTAGAACTAAAACTGAAATAGAAATGAATAAAACTTATATAGACATGTAAAAGCAACAAATTATTTAAAATGACTAAAACTTTAACTAAAATTAATGTGAAAGCAGCAAATATAAAAATAAAATATAATTCAAAATATTTACAAAAACTAAAAAAGTACCTCAGTGATACTAAAATAACACTGATATGTTTACAGGAAATCTGTAAATATTCCATTTTATATTTACTTACTTGTAAGGTAGTATGGGACTGTTTATCATTATCAATACATTATCATACATGTCACACAAATGAATATAAATGGATCGCTGTATTGATTTATTTGGATTGGTTTCATTTTGTCGGTCTGCTGTTTGATATTGAAGTTCCTCCTGTCAATAAATGACTCTCGTCTCTCCACAGTCCTGCGGCGACCGCAGCATGAATCTCCATGACTACGGGATGCTGTTGCCATGTGGTATCGACCGTTTCCGTGGCGTCGAGTTCGTCTGCTGCCCTGCAGAAGCGGAGAAGGAGTTGGACAGCGCAGCTGCGGAGGAGGACGATTCAGACGTGTGGTGGGGAGGAGCCGAGAACGACTACAGCGACAACAGGTGTGTGTGTGTGTGTGTGTGTGTGTGTGTGTGTGTGTAAAACTTAAAAAATTAAAATGAAAATATAAAATATAAAAATATTTTTATATGAAATAAGTATCTCAATGCTACTAAAATAAAACTGTTCAAAAGAAATGAAATAATATATATATAAATAAACTAATAAAAAAAATATATAACAAATTAATTCATTTTAAAATATACATCACACATGATTATAGACAAATCTACAGAATAATTATTCTAATTAAACATATAAGCATACTTTTCACAACTATTAACAGATGTAATCAGAGTCATGGGAGGCCTTCATAGAATTAATACTGTACTAAAAAAAGATTATTAATCCTATAATGATGTTCAGATGTTTATTATAGTTTATTTTGATGAATTAATAATTTATTTTATTAATAATAATAATTCAACAATAGGAAAATAATAATGATAATAAATGTATTACAATAATAATTGCATACATAGTAATAATAAAGCAATAATCCCCGTGAAGCTGTGGTTTACAGTGAATTTATAACAGCTAAGGGGCGTTGTTAGGTAAATTCACTGTAAACCACGGCTTCGCGAGGCTTATTGCTTTTATAAAACGGTTATTCCATATACGTAGTTAGGTTTCACAAAATAAAACAGAGCAAATAAAGTGTAATGATATTAATAAAAACAGTATTCTTCCACCAAACAATGTAGCTCCTCAGAAACAGTTGTGGTTGCTACAAAGTGGTTGCTGAGCAACACACAAACGTAAACAAAGGTGTATGTTACTTTGTAGCGTCATTTACAACAGCTTCGAACGCGGCTCAGCCAATCAGAATCAAGGACCGGAACTATCCGTTTTATAAAAATAATTTAATAATAATAATACCTTTCATACAATATTATTATATGCTTTTATTTTAGTATCTAGATGAACTAGAATGAAACTAAGCTAAATGTACTATTTTATTGGCATTTATGATCGTACGCTGTGAACTGTGATCCATTTGTGTGTGATTCGGATTGGATTTAAGTTTAGAGTCAGGTTTTGTGCACTGTGAACACATGATCATAAACCCCATAAAATGACACTTGATTTGATCCTTGATTGAATGGTGGTGGATGGTTGGCTTATTATGATGAAGGATTATGCAGATGCTCTGGTTTGTTTTCCTCCAGCATGACGCGAGACGCAGGATCCGAACCGGCCGTGGTGGAGGATGACGAGGATCTGGACGAGGAAGAGGAGCTTTTGGACAACGACCAGGATGGAGACGGAGACGAGGATGTGGATGAGGATGAGGGGCAGCGCCAGAGCATCAGCGTCGCCATGACGACCACCACGACGACGGAGTCGGTGGAGGAGGTGGTGCGAGGTGAGCGTCAGCCAATCACGTTGAGCGTTCGCTCATCATCATCATCATCAGACGCAGCTCTTCACGTTAGGGGTGTGCGATATTGACAAAAAATCTCAATATTTTCTGGTATTTTATCAATAACGATAATTAGATGATATTTTGCTTAGTGTGTTATTGTGCTGGTATCTTAAGGACTACCGTGGACAGCTGAATCCTACATTTTTTGATATTCTTCATATTCTGTGCTTTGGTCAGTTCACGCTGATAGAAATTAATCTTTTCCAATAAGTTTAAATTAATTTTTACCTTTTATGGGCATTTTTAACTTTATAAAGCGATTTTTTTCTAAAAGTGTACATCATCTTTTTAGTCAAATGCTTACATTTAATCAGTCAATTATAATAATAATACATTTAGGCTGTTACTAAACAAATGAAATCAGTATCAACAAAATTAATCTTTGCAGAAGTTCCATACGAAGTGGCATTTGGATGTATTTACACGTGTTAATGCAGCTTAGAGGGACATGCTTTAATCTGCAGTTACAAATGCATAAATAATGTTTTGATATTTTAAACATGAAATTTTGAATACTGATATTTGAAATAATTTAAAAAATGAAAAGATACATTAGATGTAAAATTAAAACAATTAAAACCGCCAGTAGGCGGCAGTAAGTCACTGTTAATAAGTGAGTCATTGCGTTTGAACCGAATCCGGCTTCTTGGCTTAATTACGATATTATCCCAGACGATATATATCGCACACCCCTACTTCACATGTGTGTCATGTGTGTGAGAGGTGTGTTTTGCGAGCGCAGAGACGGGCCCCTGCAGGGCCATGTTGGCCCGCTGGTATTTTGTGCGTGAGGAGGGCCTCTGCGCACCCTTCATCTACGGCGGCTGTGGAGGAAACCGCAATAACTTTGAGTCGGAGGAGTACTGTCTGTCCGTCTGCAGCCGCGTCTGTAAGTCACCAACCGAACAACTGACAGCGTGAGCCACTAACACTAATGAACCTTCGCTCACTCGCTCCTCATGACCGCCAGACCCATAATGCACTGCCTGAGCCACGTTCTTCAGCGAAACACACAAGACAGCGCTTAGCAGGATTTTCTGTTCATATGAGGCCAGCACTATATCTTGGATCTTCTAATATTATGATACTTCTCCTGTGAAAAAACAGTGCGATGAATCAAATTATATGTGCACTTGTAGTGTACTTCAAATCTGTTTTTAAGATAATATGTGAGCCTGCAGCACAAAAGCAGTCTTAAGTCGCTGGGGTATATTTGTAACAATACATTGTATGGGTCACAATTATACATTTTTCTTTTATGCCAAAAATCATTAGGATATTACATAAAGATAATGTTCCATGAAGATATTTAATAAATGTCCTACCGTAAATATATCAAAACTTAATTTTTGATTAGTAATATGCATTGCTAAGAACTTAATTTGAACAACTTTAAAGATGATTTTCTCAATATTTAGATTTTTTTGCACCCTCAGATTCCAGATTTTCAAATATTGTCCTATCCTAACAAACCATACATCAATGGAAAGATTATTTATTCAGCTTTCAGCTGATGCATAAATCTAAATTTCGAAAAATTTACACTTAAGACTGGTTTTGTGCTCCAGGGTCACATATATTAATGAAATAAAAGACCACTTAAGTTTACTTACAGAGAGACACTTTCATGACTTATTTCCAACACAGAATAAAAAAAGTCATAGTTGTGAGATATAAACTCGCAATTTTAGAAGCAAAATCTGAATTGTGAGACGTAATTTTATCTTTTGTAATGCACTTATTTTAACATACATACGCACAAAATACTTGACTATCATTTTAACTGTAGTGTGTTATTTGATATTACATTTAAAATTAATATTTTAAATGCACTAAACTGCAACTTCATCATTAGAAATGTGTAATTGCAAATATATTTGAATGAATACATGATATATACGTTTCAATAGAAATGGCATTAAAGTTTCACAAAATAAAACAGAGCAAATAAAGTGTAATGATATTACAAGATAAACGATAAAGCGGATAGTTCCGGTGCTTGATTCTGATTGGCTGAGCCGCGTTCGAAGCTGTTGTAAATGACGCTACAAAGTAACATACACCTTTGTTTACGTTTGTGTGTTGCTCGGCAACCACTTTGTTGCAACCACAACTGTTTCTGAGGAGCTACATTGTTTGGTGGAAGAATACTGTTTTTATTAATATCATTACACTTTATTTGCTCTGTTTTATTTTGTGAAACCTTACTACGTATATGGAATAACCAGTTTATAAAAGCAATAAGCTCTGCTTCGCGTCGTGCCTAACAACACCCCTTAGCTGTTATAAATTCACTGTAAACCACGGCTTCTTGGGGCTTATTGCTTAATTACGATATTATCCCAGACGATATATATCGCACACCCCTACTTCACATGTGTGTGTGTGTCGTCAGAGGTGTGTTTTGCGAGCGCAGAGACGGGCCCCTGCAGGGCCATGTTGGCCCGCTGGTATTTTGTGCGTGAGGAGGGCCTCTGCGCACCCTTCATCTACGGCGGCTGTGGAGGAAACCGCAATAAGTTTGAGTCGGAGGAGTACTGTCTGTCCGTCTGCAGCCGCGTCTGTAAGTCACCAACCGAACAACTGACAGCGTGAGCCACTAACACTAATGAACCTTCGCTCACTCGCTCCTCATGACCGCCAGACCCATAATGCACTGCCTGAGCCACGTTCTTCAGCGAAACACACAAGACAGCGCTTAGCAGGATTTTCTGTTCATATGAGGCCAGCACTATATCTTGGATCTTCTAATATTATGATACTTCTCCTGTGAAAAAACAGTGCGATGAATCAAATTATATGTGCACTTGTAGTGTACTTCAAATCTGTTTTTAAGATAATATGTGAGCCTGCAGCACAAAAGCAGTCTTAAGTCGCTGGGGTATATTTGTAACAATACATTGTATGGGTCACAATTATACATTTTTCTTTTATGCCAAAAATCATTAGGATATTACATAAAGATAATGTTCCATGAAGATATTTAATAAATGTCCTACCGTAAATATATCAAAACTTAATTTTTGATTAGTAATATGCATTGCTAAGAACTTAATTTGAACAACTTTAAAGATGATTTTCTCAATATTTAGATTTTTTTGCACCCTCAGATTCCAGATTTTCAAATAGCTGTATCTCGGCCAAATATTGTCCTATCCTAACAAACCATACATCAATGGAAAGATTATTTATTCAGCTTTCAGCTGATGCATAAATCTAAATTTCGAAAAATTTACACTTAAGACTGGTTTTGTGCTCCAGGGTCACATATATTAATGAAATAAAAGACCACTTAAGTTTACTTACAGAGAGACACTTTCATGACTTATTTCCAACACAGAATAAAAAAAGTCATAGTTGTGAGATATAAACTCGCAATTTTAGAAGCAAAATCTGAATTGTGAGACGTAATTTTATCTTTTGTAATGCACTTATTTTAACATACATACGCACAAAATACTTGACTATCATTTTAACTGTAGTGTGTTATTTGATATTACATTTAAAATTAATATTTTAAATGCACTAAACTGCAACTTCATCATTAGAAATGTGTAATTGCAAATATATTTGAATGAATACATGATATATACGTTTCAATAGAAATGGCATTAAAGTATATTTTAGTTTACCATTCAGCAGTGCTTTAACCATATTTCAAACAATAGACGTAATTATGAAAGTGTATTTGAGTCCTGTGTACAATAAGTGCTTTAAAGTTCAGCTACAGTATTGAATTGAATAAAAATGATAAATTTGCATTTAACTGCAATTTAAAGGTGTCTGAAAACATCACATTCAGTTCAAACTGAAGTGTATTATTTATGAAAAAGTATGTCGAAGCGTGCTTCTTTTTCACAAGGTTTATGATACATTTATGGTGCTTATTTGTTAATGTTGGATCTTGTAAAGAGCAGCGTGAACATCCTGCTAAACGTCTCCTTTTGTGTTCCTCTGAAGGAATAAAGTCACGGGTTTGAAGGTCATTGAATGGATTGTTCTCCTTCAGTCTGATCTGATCTGATCTGGTGTGTGTCGGTTTCTCACCAGCGTTTCACTCTTTCTCTGCTGATTCACTCGCATCTTTCTCCTCAATGTAACTCCGATTCCGTGTGTGTGTGTGTGTGTGTGTGTGTGTGTGTGTGTGTGTGTGTGTGTGTGTTTTATTTGCATGCATAAAATCATTAATGCCGTGCTGCTGCTGATCTTTATATTAATGATCTTCCTTGTTTCTCTCTCCATGACTTTATCGGTCAAACGTTCCTTCCAGCTGCTGTTTAGACTTTAATTAATGTTAAGTGGTTTCAATCAGGTCCTTTGATAACGTTCTGCATCAACAAGTGTTTGAAAACTGTTCTTGCCAAGCATTTCAGGGTCATTACAGCTGGTTTCTGTTAACTGGTTTAAGATATGAATCATTTACAATTTAAGATTTAGGATAAATCGCTTTTATTCATTACAACTATTTGAAAATCTGGAATCTGAGGGTGCAAAAAAATCTAAATATTGAGAAAATCATCTTTAAAGTTGTTCAAATTAAGTTCTTAGCAATGCATATTACTAATCAAAAATTAAGTTTTGATATATTTATGG